TGTCAAAAACTAACGACATCTAGAGAAACATTTCAATACTAGATAAACAAAGGATACAACCACCGCACAAAATTCAAAGAGGTGTTGTTCCTACACAACGATAGATGTCAATCGCATCACCTTGTACGGCCTACAGCGGATTAATCAACTACTTCGCTGAAATAAATAACAAATAAATCGATGATTAGGAACTCAAACAACGATCCGAGGAACTCTGAAATTATATTTACCAATCTCGGCATCAGCGTGAGCAGATGAGGATAACACAAATATAAATATGATTAAGGAATCTGAGGACATTTCAAATTATAGTAACCAATCTCGTCATCAACGTGAGCTCATGAGGAAGACACTAAATATGAATGGAGGGTCACGACAGCACTGAATAAGCAAAGACCCCAACCACATCAAAAAATCAAATAGGTATTGCTTCTATGGAACGATAGATGTCAATCGCATCACCTATTATATGCTACAGAGGATCAATTAACTACTTCACTAAAATAAAAATAAATCCATGATTAACAAAACTCACACAAAATATCCGACGGTCCCTGAAATTCCATAACCAATTTCGGCATTAATGTGTCCACATGAGGATTACACAAAATATGAATGACAGGAAGTAACGCCATCTAGAGGAAAATGTCTTTACTATATTGGTAAAGACTCCAAACACGGCTCAAAATTCAAAGAGGTATTGTTCTTGTGCAACAATAGATGTCAGTTCCATCACCTAGTACAAAAATTCATAGAGACGTTGTATCTAGGCAACGGTAGATATCAGGCCCATAACCCAGTACAAGCTACAGCGGATCAATTATCTACCTCGCTGAAATAAGAAAGAAAAATACAATGATTAACGAAACTCACACAAGGCATCCGAGGACCCCTGAGTATAAACAAAAATAAGGATGGCAAGAGCTAACGCCATCTAGAGGAAAATTACACCCCTAAATACGCACGGACTCCAACCATCTTAAAACTGAAAGAGACGTTGTTCCTAGGCAGCGATAGATGTCAGTCCTATCATTTAGCACAGGCTACAATCATATACGTCGCTGAAAAAAAAACAATGACTAACGGAACTCAGACAAGGGATTCGAAGACCCCTGAAATTCTTTTAACCAATCTCGGCATCAATGTGAACACATGAGAATAAGAGGCAAAAAGCGGAAACTAGCCAAAATGAAACGAAAAATTTTAAAACCGCAATCTAAATTTCCTCCTAGGCGTGTAGGTCTCCGGAAGATCAGACGAATGCCAAACCCGCAAAAAAGAAAAAGAGCTTTCTGTCGGCTAATAAAAAATAGAAAGAAGTCCCTCGACTGGGGACAGTTGAAGAAGTTTACTACAAGAATTCATTGATCAGCTTGCCCTAACATCCAGTAGACGAGCTCTGCTTCGGAATCTTCCGTAATGACTAGGAATCTTAAAAGAACCAAAACGGCCCTTAATGTAAGAAGAAGAGGGCAACAAAAATTAGTAAGGAGCTGAAGCCGTGTTATGAGAAGTTTGCCATGGTGCGCCTGCTGCAAGGAAAGATCCCAACGATCTGGACAGCTGAGAATTCAAGTAGGATTAGAATGGATTTTCCCTAGGTCTTTAGAGCAAAATTGACAAAATTTGTTATCATTTTTATACCCTTCACTACACTGTGGTACAGGGTATTATGTCTTTGTGCATATGTTGGTAACAGGCATAAGGAAACGACATAGACACATGGTTCCTTTTGAGAATATGCATAGAATCACTTTCTAAGTCGATTTATACATGTCCGTCTATTCGTCCGTCTGTCCGTCCATGTATTTTTGTTAACAAAAAACAAGTCGCATTTGTGATCCGATTTGGATGAAATTTGGCACAGTTCACTTATTTGGCCCAAGTCCGAACCCTATTGAAATTGGGAAAAATCGGTTCAGATTAAGATATAGCTTCGATATATTATTTCGTCCGATTTTATGTAAATGGTGCACCAAAGTCTCTAAAAATCTTTCGATTTGTACGATATTTGGCATATCGTATTGAATTAAGTCTACAATGATCTGTGCTAAGTTTCGTGAAAATCGGTTCAGATTTAAATATAGCTCCCATATACATATATTTTCGTCCGATTTAAGGTAAATGGTGCGCCATTGTCCCGAAATATCTTTCGATATGCACGAATTTCTGCATAGCGTACTGAATTATTGATGTGTGCTAAGTTTCGTGAAAATCGGCTCAGATTTAGATATAAAGCCCCATATATATTTTCTTCCGATTTCATCTAAATAGTGCACCAATGTCCCTATATATCCTTCGATTTGCACGAAATTTGGCACATCGTACTGAATTAAGTCTAAAAAGACGTGTATTAAATTTCGTGAAAATCGGTTCAGGTTTAGATATAGCTCCCATATATATTTTCATCCGATTTAAGGTAAATGGTGCGCCATAGTCCATAAATATCTTTCGATTTGCAAGAAATTTGGCCTAGCGTACTGAATTAATTCTAGAGAAACGTGTGCTAAATTTCGTGAAAATCGGATCAGGTTTATATATAGCTTCCATATATATTTTCGTCCGATTTAAGGTAAATGGTGCGCCAAAATCCCGAAATATCTATCTATCTATCGATTTTTACGAAATTTGCCATAGCGTGAAAATCGGTTAAGATTTAGATATAGCTCCCATATATATTTTCATCCGATTTAAGGTAAATGGTGCGCCAAAGTCCCGAAATATCTTTCGATTTGTACGAAATTTGTTATAGTGTACTGAATTAAGTCTAGTATGATGTGCACTGAGTTTCGTGGAAATCGATTCAAATTAATTCATAGAAATTTAGACACCAAATGCACACATCCGTATATATACGAAACCTTACACACACACACACACACACACACATGGGAACGCATAAAATTCATAATAATAAAACCATGATTGGTGTTCGGATCGATGCCCGGCAAAAGGAATTGCATAACAAAGACCCGCCGATTATAGAAAAGTCGAAAGAATGGCATTACCCCAATAACTCCAACAAGGAGACCTGCATAGACAACAGCCATGGATTTTATACATTTATCCACGGTATTAATGCTCTTGTTCAGACATTTGCGATATTCAACATGCTTCCGATCGTATTCCTCATAGATGGCCTCCAGAGTGCTAAGTAATTCAATTAAATATTTTTTATTCCAAATGGCATTCAAAAGTTTGCAAAAGCCCTGGAACGGAGAAACGGACCTCTCCAATGAAAGACATTTTATATGTTTCTATTCTCACCTGCACGGCACTACCCACCATACACAGGGCCTGCAGGACATTGGTCCATTCGCCTTCGACATACAGATTTACATAAATCGTATAGCCAGTAAATATATAAAAGAGATTTATGAAGGCGATAACAATCCACGTCAGCAGATTGACTTTATATTCCGGATCTAGGACATCTGCACCGCACAATGCCGAACACAGACGCAATATTCGAATAAGTAGTTTATAACGTTCTAGCACCGTTCTGGCCATGTCGTATTCGTGTTCCGTTTTAAGGCTAAACTTTGAATGCCAAGCGAACAGTGTTTGGTCGAAAAACAATTAGTCGGGAATTGACGCAAAACTAAAAATTTAATTGGAAATATATCTGACTGACAGCCTTTGATCGAACCGCCTGACATATGGATGATATGATAATTAGAAAATAATTTTGTTGCAAAAAAAAAAAAAAAAAAAATGGGAAAAAAGCCTAGGCTTGGTTAAATATTTAAAAAATATATATTTCAAAAACTCCGTGCTTGGTTAACCATTAAGAAAACATTTAAAAATCCACGCCTTGGATGGCCTTGATGGCTTTGGAAGAAATATTCGTTTAAAAAATCCACGCCTTGGATGGCTGGCTACTAGAAAAAATATTCGTTTAAAAAATCCTCGTTGGATGGTCTTGATGGCTTTGGAAGAAAAGTAATCTTTAAAAAGCACGCCTTGATGGCTGGCTATTTAAAAAAAATATTCTTTAAAAAACCATGCCTTGAAGAATATTTTTTTTCAAGTAGCCCAGAAGGCGTGGATTTTTTAAAGAATATTTTTTTCAAGTAGCCCAGAAGGCGTGGATTTTTTAAAGAATATTTTTTTCAAGTAGCCCAAGGCGTGGAAGGCGTGGATTTTTTTTAAAGAATATTTTTTTCAAGTAGCCACCAAGGCGTGGATTTTTTAAAGAATATTTTTTTCAAGTAGCCACCAAGGCGTGGATTTTTTAAAGAATATTTTTTTCAAGTAGCCCAGAAGGCGTGGATTTTTTAAAGAATATTTTTTTCAAGTAGCCCGTATTTTTTAAACAATATTTTTCATAGTAGTATTTTTTATAGTGGAATATAGTACATAAATCGGGGTTTCTAAGATTTTTAGAAGACCTAGAATTCCTCTATTTTTATTTAAGCATTTTATTAAAGAAATTATTTCACTAAGAATTAAGGACATATTATTCGATTAGTCAATAAAATTGATCAACATCATTGTCATGGTGTAAATCATCTTCGTCAATTGTAGACCGGTATTCATGGTTAGGGGTATGACCGCACCAACGGTCAGTCCTCCGGTTTTTTGTGTCATCATTAACATCATACGGAGCATTTTTCTCTCGGCCACTGGCAGTTTATACCAAATGACTTGAGTGTAACAGGAATCGATGAAGCCATCGTTCTGCAAAATGGGGGAAAAATTAAGTATTTTTGTTTATAAATAAAAATTTAAAACAAATATCCTTCTGGGCAACGTGAAAAAAAATATTCTTTAAAAAATTAATTTTTTTTATTCTTAAATATTCTTAAAATTATTCTTTAAAAGAAATATTTTTTAAAAATCCTTGTAAAAAGGTCCTACAGAGTCGTAAAACATTTCCTGGCCTTGAGCTCGCCTATAAAGACTCTCTGACTTACATCTGGACTACAAAGACTCCCTGACATGCAAGGCGCAGTCTATGACTCATTGACCTACAGGCTGTCTACAAAGCTCCTATGACCTGCAGGATGCCTATAAAGTCTCCCGGGCATTCGACTCGTCTATAAAGACTGGTTGGCCTCGTCTTCTTTAAAGATTGGTTAGCCTTCAGCTCTTTCGTTCGTCTATAAAGACACCCTTATTTTCAGCATGTCTATAGAAAGACATTCAGACATTCAGTCTATAAAAACATCTTGACTTACAGCATGTCTACAAAGACCCCTTTGACCTTTGACCTTTTTGTTTGTCTATAAAAAATCCGTCGCCTATTAAGACTTCAACTCGTCCGTAGGGTCAACCTTACCTCACCTCGTCTATAAGGACTGCCTGGCCATTAGCCATCTATGAAAGACTCCAGGCCTACAGCTCGTCTACAGAAGTCTCTCTGAATTGCAGGTCGCCTATTAAATCTCCTTGGCCTTCAACTAGTTTTTGGAAGACTACCTGCCTGCAGCACAACTGTAAATGAGTCAGTTTGTCCATAAACATGCCCTGGCCTTCAGCTCGTCTATAAGTCTTGTGGGCTACTAGAAGAAATATTGTTTAAAAAAATACACGCCTTGTTGGTAAGCAGAAAAAGTATTCTCTAAAAATTCCACACCTGGTTGGCAACTAGAAAAAATATTCGTTTAAAAAATCTATGCCTTCTTGGCTATCTGAAAAAACAAATATTCTTTAAAAAATCCACGCCTCTGCAGAACCTTGTAAAAATATCCTGATCTTGTATCTTCAACTATACTCACAGTCACTTCAACCACTGTGCCCAGGCCACAGTAAATGTACAACATCATAAAACAGTAACACAAATACGTAAGACCTCCCGGCCATGTACCCAAAAGTAAACAGAAGAGAGTCGAAGCAATGCTCAAACCAAATGTTACCATTTCGACCAATAGAACCCAGAAGTAATTATCCTTAACAGTGGTGATATATCTAACAAAGAGAAAAACGAATTTTATTCCCATATTTTTTTGTTCACAACTCCCCACCCTCACCTCATGTACTTTTGATGCCATTGAAAGATGTCTCGGAGCAACGTTTTATAATCTCTGGGCTCCCTTTCTTTATTCTCCTCCTCCTCCTCCTCAAGCAGATCATTCAAATCATGAAATTTACACGATAAAATATCCTTGAACAGTGGAAAATGACTGACAAAGGTGAAGAAACACAAATCGGCTGCAAAATTTCCAAACGCTCCAAATATTATACAAATGCAATGCATACAATTCATAATTATGTAACCATATTCGGTATTCGGATCTATGCCGGGCAGCAAAAATTGCATTACAAAAACCCGTTGATTGTGGACGAGGCGATAGAATGGCACCACACCAATTATACCAACTACCACGGCGACATGGGAGATAGCCATGAATTTGATACATTTCACCGATAGGTTAATACTCTTCTGCAGGCATTCGCGATATTCATCATGCTTCTGAACATATTCGACATACATCTCACGCAGTTCATCGACCAAATATCGTAATGCGTCCTTATTCCAAATTGCATTCAACAACTTGCAATAGCCCTGCAAAAATTATTCAAATTTATAATTTCCCAGACTCCAGGATTTACTTCAGAGGATTTCGACCCACCTGCAAGGCACTACCCAAAAAACAGACAATCTGCAGCATAAGGGTCCAATCTCGTTCGATATAAAGATTCACATAGAGCGTATAGCCAGTAAAAGCAAAATATAAATTTATAAATGTCATAACAATCCATGTCAGGATGTTCATCTTGTAGGCGGGATTAAAAACATTCGCTCCACATACACCCGAACAGATTTTTATTAGACGCACAATTGCCTCATAACTGTCGACCACGTTCTTAGACATATTTTGTATTTTTTGGAAATTTCAAATTTAAAAATTACCGAACTAATTCACATCGATGTAAGGCGTAGAGAACAAAACTGAATTATCGGCAGTATGTAAGAATAAGCAATACCGCAAGACGAGCAGAACATTTCGCAATAATTAGACCATCATGAATTTTTAACACCAAAATGTTGGCCATACTTTTTTGACATCTACAATTCAGGGTCAATACTTAATTATGCGGATTAAAAAAAAAAACAAATAGTATTTAAAATAATGTTAATCGTCCTCTAATGGTTTCGATTCCCAGGGGAAAATACCAAATGAAACTGCCTGATTGGTTAATTGATTCACTTTGATATATTTTTTTTAAAAATCTACGGCTACACGAACAAAATATTTTTTTACAAAATCCACGCCTCAGTGGTACCTCAAACAAATTTGTAGAAAATAGAAGCTTTGTCAGAATACATAATATCTCATGCCAGATCGTGCTCCCTTGAGCACACCAAGTTTACTCCAGAAAATTAATCAACATCATTGTCATGGTGTAGATCGTCTTGGTCAATTGTAGACCGGTATTCATGGTTAGCGGTATAACGGAACCAATTGTTAGGCCACCGGTATTTTGAGCCATCATCAGCATAATTTGTACCACATGACCTCGGTGTAACAGCATTCGATAATGTCATCATTCTGTAAGTGGACAAAATAAAATTACATCCTGTAAAGATTTCCGGGAAGTCAGTGAATCTATAAAAAATAGTATGTCCTTTAGTTTTCGGATATAAAACCCCCTCCTCACCCTCCAGCTTTCATATAAAGGCTCTCTGACTTTCATTTTCTCCATTTTTTTCTCTCTGACTTGCATCTAGACTACAAAGACTCCGTGACATGCAACCCGCAGTCTATGACTCTTTAACTTACAGGCTGTCTACAAAGCTTCTATGACCTGCAGGATGCCTATAAAGTCTCCCGGGCCTTCGACTCGTGTATAAACACGGGTTGGCCTCGTCTTCTTTAAAGATTGGTTAGCCTTCATCTCTATAGAAAACTCTAGACATTCAGATCATCCCTGGTCTTTCGTTCGTCTGATTTTCAGCATGTCTATAGACAACTCTAGGCTTTCAGACTTTCCTTGCTTAAGTTCCTCTATAACAACTGTCTGGTCTTGAAGTCGTCCTTCAGATCATCTATAACGACTTCCTAACATTCTGCTCGTCAATAAACACTTCCTGGCCTTGAGCTCGCCTATAAAGACTCTCTGACTTGCATCTAAACTCTTTAACTTACAGGCTGTCTACAAAGCTTCTATGACCTGCAGGATGCATATAAAGTCTCCAGGGCCTTCGACTCGTCTATAAAGACTGGCTGGCCTCGTCTTCTTTAAAGATTGGTTAGCCTTCAGCTCTATAGAAAACTCTAGACATTCAGATCATCTGTAAAGGCGTCCTGGTCTTTCGTTCGTCTATAAAGGCACCCTGATGTTCAGAATGTCAAAGACCCCCATAGACCTTTTAGTTTATCTATAAAAAATCCGTCGTCTATTAAGACTTCAACTCGTCCGTAGGTCACCCTTACCTCACCTAGTCTATAAGGACTGCCTGGCCTTAAGCCATCTATGAAAGACTCCAGGCCTACAGCTCGTCTATAGAAGTCTCCCTGAATTGCAGGTCGCCTATTAAATCTCCTTGACCTTGAACTAGTTTT